AGGCGCAGCTGCTGAACAATGAAGTAGATAATGAAGTAGCTGAACAACGGGACGGCTTTATGCTCTCCCATAGTAGAGTACCTAGTACTCCTAATTGTTACCCACTTTTTCTGAGCACACCCGGCCAAGCCATACTTTGTTACTGTGTAATATAAACGAGCGAACACTGGCGTGATCGCCTGCGGCCGACCTACTGCTGCGATGTCAGCGCCACGAGCGGCTGCTTGAACCGATAATATCCTTCGATCTTCGGGATGATCATCACATCCATCGAAATCCTCGCAGCTCCCACAGCTTTATGGGAATCGATTCCATGCACACCAGTCAGCGAGCATTTATGCTGTCTATGCCGGATTTTTCGCTTTAAATCGCATGTTACCAGGCGGATAGATGTCTTTGGGTAAATTTGGCAGTTGTGTGAAAATTGTGGGCTTCAGGCAGGTCAGCCGCGTGGTGAGAATAAATCATGGTCAGACGTAACGTCGGCACTCAAATTAGAGTGATGTCCCTTTTGTCCAAATGAAGCGTACGCTACGGTGCGATAATTTGCATACCATAAGTAGGTGTCGTCAGCGGATTTGAGCAACTCTTGTTTACATGCATCTTGTAGAGTGAATGTTTATTGCATCGTTAATAAGGCACTGCAACAAGATTTGGCACTACCTGACAGGATGCTTGTGTCGAGTTTCTTTCGAAAGTAATTTTAATCGTTGGCGTAGCTCTGTCGTAGAATACTTCACTATCATGCAGAATGCCTGCGTTAGATTCCAGCTCGAGCCTTTATTTTTGTTCTTTGCTTCCATCGGTAGTTTTCATTTATGGTCGACGACGTCGGTGCCGCCGCATTTCAGCAACACGGGCTCCTTAACGCTATCGCATAAAGATTTTTAGAGAATAATATCGCTGCAATATATATGCTCACATGACGATAATAGGGATGATCTTTACCGATCTACGTAAGAAGAAACCAACGAAAAACAGGAACTCAGCGTAGGTATTAGGAAAGACAAGTGCTGGACTTACAACTAAATGTTTATTAAAGAAAGCCCTTACATAAATGAACCAGTCGGAAGCACATGCTTAAAAAGGGTATCTGAGCCACAGTTGCACAATTAGCCGTGCAAATTTTTCCAAGAAATGTGTCAAGGTGGTATAAGCAGCCGATTTCCATGGAACACCAAAATATCAACGCCGAGTGTACCCGCTGTCTAGAACCGCGAGTTCTTCATCTGTGAGGAAATCTGGGGGATCGTTCACACATGACACTTTGCTCTGTTTTTATTTCGAAGGCCTCACAAGTTTCGCGTTCAATCTTATTTATTCCTCTGCCAATGTCATCCAGTGATTTGAAAGAAATTCTTTTGTCATGCATACGACCGTGTCTACAGAGATCCCGCAGAGCCTGTGAAAATTATCAGGCGGCCGAGATGCACCTTTAGCCTACCATATTTTAAAGCGAGCCGTCAGGGATTCAGACCCCTCACCCAAACGCATCGTTTGGACTCCAATCCACCAGGGCCTTAAAGGTAACGAGGCTGTGGATGCGGCCGCCCACACACCGAGCACATATAGCTCACCCTGGCTTTTCCGGCTCAGAGATTAGCCAACCGCTTTTTTTTTATTGAAGTAAAAAATAAACAAAGGAATTTTTGTCACCGTTATATACTTGGCGACGGCTACTCCTATATATTGCGAACGACATCGGCTTTTCCCGTTGCCTGCTAAGGGCCTGACCGATGAACGAAGTCTAAGGCACCTGCATACCAACACCTTGTCCTGCAATAGTAAGGCATTTTGACACGAAAGTCGATGGGTGGTGCCTTCACTGTGGGGCAGACTCCGATAACTTTCACATGGTGTGCTCATGTCAGATGGATCCTTCCCTTCCCCTACTAGAGAGACACGAGAGTCAGCCCCACTCAATTGCTCCGAGCTGGAAGCTCAAAGAGCTCTAGTCAAACGGGCACGGGTAGCGGCCTTGTCCAGCTGGGTCTCGGAATAAGGAATCCCCCTGTGTAAAGAGCCCTCATGAGCCTGCAGACTCTAAATAAATAAATGTTTTTCACACACAACCCTCCACCACACCCAAAACTGACAAAATAGGAAAGCGTAATACTGAGACGCCTGCAAAGCAGCACATACACACATGGGGCCCTAATGCACCGTCTCTACCCAACGAGATATAGCTCTATGTGCCCGCTTTGCAACGTACCGGAAACCCTGGCGCACTTGCTTCTTGCATGCCAGTGTATTGCCAGACGTAATCTGCAACAACACACGACTGATAACGAAGCAGGACGGACGAACGAAGACCTAACCGAAACGTGGGAGGCGAAGCTCGCCCTCGAGGACCTGGAAGATCAACAACTCGTCGCCAGGGCCAAGAGGGCAGTAGAAGCCAGAGGGTTCCTTGACTAAGGAGCTTTCCCACCTCAGGGTGACACCGGGCATTGCTCGGGGCACTGTTTCAAAATAAACGTTTACTTCTCTTTTCACACACACATACATAGATTAGACGGGTCGAGACCTTCGTGACACCTAGGCAGTGTGCATGTGGCCCAGTTCCTTCACTGTTTTTTTTTTTCCTTCTAAATATGCCCTAAACAGCTGGCCATTCCTGAGATATAACAATATCTTCCATACACATCGAAGAGAAGCGCTTCTGCCCTTCCCGTCCCCAGTCCTGGATCCCACCATTCACATTTGAACTGCCTTTGTTCATCCACTCACTTTCACAGTCATAATTATGAATATTCCAGTACCGGCTTTCCACACCTTTCATCACTGTTCAAAGCCCGGCTCACATACTATGTATTCTTGTCAGCCAGAATAGGTCGATAGTCCTCACCAAACAGCACGGTTGGCAGTATCACTGACCGGGATTCGCTTAACTATTGTCAACTCAAAAGTATCCTGAAATTCACGATTAAATCGAATCCAATATTACCTTTCCACATTATTAGGAGCACTTCCCAAGTTTTTTTTCTGGTCCAGTTATTTTGCTTTAAGTGACAGGTGAATGAATTGCGATGAGTTGAGTTTGCGAATTGCGCAGAATTAAGAAAGGCCAGACTGGTGAGAGAAGGTGCAAAATAAACGTATGTTAACTGAAAAAAAAAAAAAGATCCTATTTAAATGGCGCGCGTGAAAGCACACGGCGGCGGCGGCGTAGCAAAAACCAACGTACCAACGTTCTATAAACGTTCTATAAACGTTCCCGTGTTGTTTTTGGTGTACATAAATGACATTGTCAACGTTGTTACACCTGGCACACAAATCAGATTGTTTGCAGACGATTGCGTTTTATATCAGGAAATAACTACAGTACATAACCAAACCGACGATCGAGATTAGTTTGCACAACATACAGGCGTGGTGTTACAGATCAGGCATGTCTTTAAACAAAGAAAAAATCTGTCTGTCTTCGCATCACAAGGGGGGAAAAAAAGCCCGTTAAAATACACCTACACACTGGCCACCTCACCGCTAAAAGAAGTTGAAAACTATAAATATCTGGGGGTAACATTCTCAAACAACCTTTCGTGGAATTTACATATTAGTAATATATGTTCCTCAACTTTCCATAAAATTTGTTTCCTGAAACACAAGCTTAAAAATTCATCCGACCACATTAAACTACCGAGTTACATTACTCTCATTAGACCGAAGTTATAGTATGCTTGCCTTACATGGGATCCCTACCAAGGAGGATTAAAGAAAAATTTCTGTAGTGGAAGCTCCCGCAATGCCTTGCCAGCAGAAGTGACGCCACCTTTTTCCACTGCCAAGATGGCGGAAACATGCTCTTTTCTGATAGTGCCCACTCACTTAAATATCAAGCGGCTTTGATAAGTTATGTAAATGCTACGTTAGTTCTATATTAAGAGATAGCTGTTCCCGACGAAATAGCACACAGAAACGAGTATGGATGACTGAATCTTCAAAAAACTTTGCCTCCAATTAGAGGCTCACTAAAAAAAAAAAAAAACTAGTAACTGTAAGACGCACTTGGAGCACTATTTGACCGAAAAAGTTCCCACATTAAACTCGTTGGGCGTGCGAGGGAAACGTTTTGTTTTTAATCGGTCAACGGTGATAATTTATTATGCCCCTAGTAAGATGACCGCTACAGCCGTCATCATGCCAGAGGAACGGCTTCACTTCTGCGCAATCATTTCCACTCCAGCAATGTTTTTAATCCTCCTTGATCCCTACACTAAACACAACATTAAAATAATAGAGAAAGTCCAGAGAAAAGCTGTTCGCTTCATTTTCTCTAAGTTCAAGCAGACCGATTCCCCCACATAGCTTATAACAGAAAATGACATCCCCCTCCTCGAAACACGTAGGCAGATTCTCCGCCTCAATTTCCTACAATCTCTCATTAAACGTGAATTATCAATTGACCCCGCATTATATGTAACACCTCTGTCCACAAGGCGTACACGTCACGATCACACACATGCTTTAACCCATCATTTTGCTAGGACAGATATTTACAAATACTCATTTTTTCCCAGGACAGTGTCGGAGTGGAACTCTAGGCATGAGATGAATGACCTTTTTTAATTAAGTTACCACAATACCCGCGTTAGGTGTGTTTACATTTTGTATGATTTTGTAAGTCGGAGTGGAATGCTGGGCATATAATGAATGACCCTTTTTAAGTTACCACAATACACGCGTTAGGTGTTGTGTTTCCATTTTGTATGTTTTACTTCATTTTACTTTGGTTGTAATTACAGTACTGCATTTTTTTTTTCTTTTTTATCGTAAGCAGTCTGAGTGCCTTTACTAAGTTAAGTGTGAAAATTTGCGTGTTCCTTGTACTCACTGTATTGATATTTTGGCATTGTATTTCTTTTTTGAGTGTGCTGTGAGTGCCCTTCCTGCACTGGTCTGCAGTATGTTATATATAAAAAAAAAACATGGTTGGCAAAAACTGTCAGCGGCGGCGCGCCGACGCCTCGGCGCAGAAGCTCATGTGGCACTTCATCCTCTTTATCCCTTGAACGTTCTTACATCTCTCCTGCCATTGCTGCCATCGCCCGCAAGTATGGCGGCAACCGCAGCGAAGCTGGATCTTGTTCCGAATCGAAACCTCCTTGATGCGAAATTTGATAGTTATCGGCTGACACTGGAGCCGTTGCCGATCATAAGGCTGGCATTTCAAGGAGGTAAGAACGGCACGATCGGAAAACGTTACGTTGAGTTCTTGTCGCTGTTCTTGTCACTGATTCGTGTGTTTGCGAATCGTATGCTTACTCTGCTACCCCCGGAACAGGCGTTCAAAAGGTACACTTGGAAGATGATCAGTACGGCTACCTTCACGTCCAGATGGCTGGCTTCATCAACGCCCTAGTCCAAGATCCATGGGACGTCAATACACTCTTTTTTATCTCCGAAGCCCGCCACGTCATGTGGGCACACTTCTCCCAAGTTAGTGTACCCGGCGCATAGCCGCCAAATTTTTTCACACCGAATTGGCAGTGATTTTTTTTTTAGTTAGTTCTTCTCTGCGTGCATGTGTGCTGGCAGAAAGTGCGGTGCAGACTAGAGTAGTATCGTTGGGTGCAGCACCGCAAATTCTGCACCTCTTACTGCCTCTGTGACGTGCACACCTTGTTTCATGGAAATCTTCCAAATATGCATGCTTGCTGGCATTATTATATTGTTGCGGCCGTCTTGTTCGTTCTTTGCAGCATTTAACACAAACAAGGCGTGTCGTGGTGTCATTTATGTAAAAATATTCGATCTGTTTTAATGCACTGTATACTGTTTCTATCATATAATCATAAAACTGGGAGCAAACATTTTATGAGATTGTTTTTCTCATCGAGAACTTGATGTGGCAAGCCTTACACGATAGCCATGCCATCAATTCGCGATAAATATACTTGTTTTTCACCTTCTGCTGATCATTTTGACATACAATACTGTCACACAACTGTATTGTGGTCCAATTTTATGGTGTCATTGTTGCTACTGCATTTTTTTTTTCTTGTTTCAGAAGTTGTGTAGAAAAACATCAGTTCTGTGTGCACAGACAGGATATTTCACATTGATTAATTAGAGCTCATCCCAAAATTGTATGTTTAGTTGTATAGCTAGCAGTGATCTCATCTTGTTTTTATACAGATCTGCTTTATCATTTTTCATTTCATCGGCAATTGTAGGTAGCACAATCACCATTCTTCCTAAAGGGTTGTTAGATGCTTTAAACTTCAAGGCTTTGTTGTCGACTCATTCTTTCAATGTGTAGTCGAATGAGGTGCTATATGCAAGAGTGAAATCGTCCCTAAGAGTGATTTCATTAGCCAAGACTAGTTACACACATCAAGTTTGAGTGAAAGGAAGTGTAAGTCTTGTTGTTGAAGCGTAGTGATTGTGAGAAACATTGTTGTTGGTGACCTCCAAGCTTGCTAGGTTGTGTGACTCCTTCTTGGACTCATTTCTTAGGACAGTCATCTCCTAGAACCAAAAGTTGTGTGGAAAATTCCTGAGCCAAGTGGTATTTCACGGGCTTGTACCTTGGACTTCCCTCATGCCGAGTGGTGCCTCATTTCTGATGGTCTCGGTACCATCTTTGTTCTCAACTCCCCTAGCCGGCCACAAGGAGAACCTTGGCAGGTGCAGTGTCATTATCTTCTTTTTTGGATTTATATTTCAACACCACAACTGCCTAATTGGAATTATTAAGTACACTTATGGGGGGGGGAGGAGGGGGGCATTGAACATCTGTTTTGATAGTTTGTAGACGATACTTCACTTTCATAGCGAGTCAGTTTTGTGGGCTTCTCTTCTGCACTCTCTTTTTGAGGGCTGATGAGATTATGCTTGTTTTGAAACCAGTGTCATGTCATGTTTCGCATATTAGTTTTTGAAAAAGAAGTCAATTTTTTATAACTTCTCATTCATGTCTGGCCATTTTTCTGTGGCCTTCTGCTGTGAAATGGTGTTGGTTTATGGAAAAGTGTGCTTTCCTTTGAAACTTTCGGTATGTTGAAGCTATACTGCATATTGTATGATGTAAGCATCGTTATAAGTGCTAGAAATTACTGCTCACATTTGCTACCAAAGTATTGCAAATTGCATAATAAAGAAATTGAAAGGATAGTCTAATTTGATGTGTAAGTCAGAAGTCACAGACAACTGTGTTGAGAAATGCAACTATTTCAATGCCTGGGAAGGGTCACACTTCTGAACATAGTTACCTAAAAATGACCAGAATGACTTATTTGTGAGTTATGTTGAGAACCAAAACAAAATAGACCAACAAGTAGATGCACAAAGGTATATTAATGATGCTTAATTTGATGCAACCTTATGTTTGCGTTATTGTAGTTGTAACATGTTTTGCAGTTATTCTGCGGGAATAGTTGCAGGTCACAAACAGCTGTACTGCAAGATATGTGAAGTGAGACTATGTATGCAACTTAGTAGAACTGCACGGCTTTGCTAATAAGCATTTTTTAAAAATCAAACACTTCCTGACATAACACTCGTTCAGTAGTATGAGTTTATATCTGTGGAACAAGCCAGTAAGTCATACAAGTGCATAAAGAATGGCCAGCTCATCAGATCCTTTATGCTTCTGACAGCTATGTTACACACACTGCTTGGAGTGGAGTCAGCCAGGCACCATACTCTTGACAAGTGCTCACAGCAGCTTTCCAAGCAGCCAACAGATGGAATGCCTTCTAGCATATGTTAGCCGGCCGCAAGACGTCCATGGTAGTGTCAGCATTCCTGAAACAACAGTTCACTTTGTATGTGTCCTTGAATGGCTGACATTCACTTGTAGTGAGTACATTTTGCATTACTTGCACTCATCCATTTGTACAGCAACCTATATCATATGTGCGAGCGAGTTTTTTTGTACTAAAATAAGCTTGTATCTGTGAGGCATCTCATTCCTCTTGTGTTATACTGAGTGCTCATGTTCAGAAAGCACTGTAATAGTTCAATCATTTTGTATAATTCAAATGATATCAACACCACCCTCACCCAGACAAGCTTATGTTTGTTTTTTATATTACTTGTTTATTTGATGTTACATTCATAAAAAGGAATCAGGGTGTGTGAATATTCAATGTCCCGATTATGAGTTCATAGTTTTACTATTTAAAAATATGGAAGATTAATTCTGTTAAAATATTGGGCATAACATTTGTTGGAGCTTACATGGCAAGAGATTGCTTTGCACGGTGATTGTTCAAAACAATTCCACTAAGTGGGAAGTCGTGGTTGTTGCACAGAAGCACCAGATTTTAAGCGAATGCATGGAACAGATAACATCAGTTTTATATTTTTTCCAGCTGCATGATGAACATCACACTAGGAAAGAATAGAAAGAGACCTGTACTCGTCTCTCCCTCTTTTTTCTTGGGTTTTGTCCTTCTAGAAAATTCATATTGGATTTTGGGAGGGGTGATTGCTCGAAGTGAAATGGGGAAGGGGGGAGTCCATTTTGTGTTTGAAGGACTTAATGTCATCACATGACTTCCACATAGTATAAGTGCTGTTTACGTTTGCTTAGAGGGATCACACTCCTCTGTTCTAATCAGTTTTGCGACCGTGTGTGAGCTCCCTACATTTTGTTTTTCAGGACCAACTGCTTGCTTTCTGTCCTAAAGGGCCAGTAAACAACCTTAATGCTGTAAACAATCTTAATGTGATGAGATAATTGTGCCTTTTTCCAACGTTAACATTCCGCCGCAAGAAATTTGTGAATAAATGCATTTTTATTGAAGCTACAGGGAATAGAACAATAATTTCAGCTGGTTTCAGTTTCATGCTAGACCTTGCCACCCTTCTCTGTAGCTCAGAGCTCCTGCTAGTGATACGACATCAGCGATCGTGTCACTGGTACGCAGATGACAGAACAAGAGTCCCTTCATGTGTTGTTTGGGTCAGTCGCTCACACAGTGAGGAACCGGGTTGTAAGGCACTGATGTGGTAGTAGTTGTAATAAACAGCTTTATTTCCTGATGAGTTAAAGATATACATGATAATATGACAACTGCATAGCGAAAACTGCATCACCAAAAGGGCCAAGGCATAGTATCATACTGCAAAGCATCAAAAGACGATGTCAGTGCTGCATAATGTTGCCCATGGGCAATGTTACATTACAGAGAAGAGCTTTGGTCAGGCACAAGAGAGGGGCAGGGAATTGTTTTTTCAAAATAAGGCGTATGCATGGCATGCAACGCTCTGATATTCATAAAGGTTGTTGCTGCCTTTTTCTGAATTAATTAGCAAGCTTGTATGAGGTCTGTAAAAAAAAAAATCATTTGTGGGCCTATTTACTGCATGTTTAAAGAATAAACAACAATGTACGTAGTAACATTATATCAGGTTAAATGTGCACAGGCATGGTTGTAGTAATTTAAAGTGCGTATTGCATCACTTGTACTTTTCAAATTTTATTTTTATTCCTGTTGTCTTGTTTCAGCACCTGTAAAATTTTCCAACAGTAAAATGCTTGGCAGTGTATATGTGAAACATAAAACGATTCATCTTTTTATTGTTTATAAACTCAAGATATCTTAAAAAAAAGATACATAAAAATACTGGCAAGATAATCGATTCAAAATAGTTTGCGAATACAGTGCAGCTATGGACGCATGGTACTAGCGGATTCACTAATATACTGTAGATTCCTCATAACATTGTCGGAAGTGTTTTGGGAAGATATGTATTCATTAGATTGGCCTGTGAATTTATCAATCAACTGCTCCCAACAGAACAATGATGACAAATTGCAAGATATGTAATATCATGCACGTTTCTTATTTCGATTTTGCTGTACTCAGTTGACACTCACAAAGTTTGTTAGTAATGCTCACTGCTGACTGCTCCTCAGTATTCGAGAAGCTTCGCGATTGTGGTTTTGTCAAGATCGTGTGCAGGACGCGAACAGTGGAGCTTATTCTAGAGCTTGCGCGAATACCAGTTATAAGGCTGGAAAGTTTGGTGTGTGGCGTCTCTCATAATCATATGGTGGTTTTGGGACGTTATACCCCACATATCAAAGTTCGGTGCGTGATGTATAAAAGATAGCACGTCTAAACAATGATCAGTTTTTCTACGGCTGATGCTCTGTTCACTGCTATCAGTGAAAGTTCCTACTGTGTGCATTGCTCGCTTGCAGTTAACCTTCTTTTTGCCTGCCACAAGTCCGGCCGAATATAGAGTTTTCATTTCCAACTTTTGCAAGAGAGTTCTGCACTGTCATGCCCGTGCTGGAGTGACCGATATCTTAAAGTATGAAGCTGGTAATGAGGTTTCTCAATTACATGTTCTGAAACCAAAGAAATAAGGCAGTTAAAGGGCAGTGATATCAGTCTCAATGCAGGCTATATGGTCATTGTGGATGGCATTGTGGATGACAACTCTCCCAACGCTCGGTTCTTTTAAGCTATATGGTCATGCGTGGCATTTGCTTAGTACCTTGTTTTCTTGAAACAGGTCAAGTGGTAACCATGTTTTATGATTTACACATGTATAAGACCATGCATAAAAATCCCTTACGCTGCAGAGCTTCAGGACAGTTTAAAATGTTTGGCACCAGTGTGCCTGAGTGTTTCCTGCCAAACCTGAGAATGGACACCTGGAACCTAAATAATTGTGGTGCCACGTTATCCCCCCACCCCAACCCTCTTGCTTTTCCACAATTGAGCACAATACCAAAAAAAGGGCACCTCAACTTTTACACACGAGGAGTGAGCACACACGCCTTCGTGAATATAATATGTGTAAATTAAATAATAATGCACAAGGGATAGACAAGTCTGGTGGGAAAGAACCATAGAGTCTTCCACTAAACAGCAATAAGGATTCATCAGGGTGTTTACAGTGGCTACCATGTGAGGACAAAAACAGATGGTTTCATGGCAGGTCCAGGTTGGAACTTGATTAGCTAAGTAAAAGCTGGTGCTCACTCGTCAGAGGTATATAAAAACAATAATTAAAATGGCAATAGTGAAAAAAAAAGGTAGAAAAGAACAGTATAAATAACATACTGCGCTTTTTTTCTTGTGCGCTGCCTACGATAGCATTTTGGAAAGGAACGCACCTCATTTTGTCGCTGTCAGTGCCTGTCAAGGTGTGTGTTTTAAATACAAATTTATATTTGTTTTTTGTTGCAATAAGTAGCTAAGAACCCACTCATCATGGCTGGAAACCTCGTTTGCCGGAGTGCTCAATGGTTAATTATTTGGATACATTTTTATCACCGATTTTCACTTTCGGTTTAAGAGAACACCGAGAGAGGCGGGACCCAGTGAGTTGTTTGTGTGAAAGGGAAACTAAAGACAAAGACAATTTTTCGCGCATTATGAAAATGGAATTTTACAACCCCAAAAACACCGCTCTTGCAGCGAGGTGATGCTATTTTGAGATTCCCGTACCGAACACCGTGATGTTGAAAATTTTGAACGGGTCTACTAGGTTCTATGTAGCGTTCGATTGATAAAAATAAAGTACATTGTCATCTGTCGGTGCCATAGACGCTTATAAAGTTTCAGAAAATTTTATCGAGCCAATGCCGCGAAAGTATGAAAATTGCATTTTGACATTTTTGACTTGCTGCACAGAGATTTAGGCACAAAATTTAAAAATGAAAATTAATCCTTGATTTTCTCCACTTATAATGAGCTTACGACAGTGAGACTTATGGCATTAGAGTTCTCAGAGTAGTTCTCAGAGTGCAGTTTATCAATATAAATGAAGTCGTCGTTTCTTTTCTTTAGTGTTCCTTCAACACAACTGGCTATGTGAACACTAATAGTGATGAACTCTCTTCCCGAATATCAGCGCAGTCGTTGACAGTTGGGAAGAGAGTGGACACAAGGGATGTGGCAGACAATACAATCTTGTGCTGTATATGGTAGCCGATTGTTTACGCTATAATAACGCCCCGCTGCAGTGGTCTAGTGGCTAAGGTACTCGGCTGCTCACCCGCAGGTCGCGGGATCGAATCCCAGCTGCGGCGGCTGCATTTCCGATGGAGGCGGAAATGTTGTGGGCCCGTGTGCTCAGATTTGGTTGCACGTTAAAAAGAACCCCAGGTGGTCGGAATTTTCGGAGCCCTCCACCACGGCGTCTCTCATAATCATATGGTGGTTTTGGCACGTTAAACTCAACATATCAATCGTTTACGTTATAATCATGTTCAACTAAGGTACTTAGATGTGCAAAAGATTTTAGAGCAAAGTTGGTGTCATTGTCACGCGGTGGTCGGTTTCGCATGCATACACAACATGTAATTTAAAATTAATTTTAAATATGTTCCAAGATATATTAACTGTTTATATTTTGCTGATGTTGTGTATGCGTCCGCACAAATATACCCTGGAAGTTATCTAACCTTCATAATTTTGTGTTTCAGTACAGTACTTCCTTAAAATATACCCTTGTTATCCTGCAACAGCCTTCTTTCTGCACTTTTTTTGCATTTATTTTCTTGAGGCCTGAGTTATATTTAGGTCTGTGTGCCTTTCCAAGAATAAACACAGACAGCCCATCGCTCTCGATGAAGCAGATGTGCACAATTTTCGCAGTGCTAGACATAGGAACGAAACGGTATTAGAAAGCAACATAAAATAGTGAGGGCTGCCATAGGGTGAAAGGTGAGAATTTAAAAAAGAAAGAAAAAGCTACAATAAAATTAGATGATTTAACCATCTAACATATTGTTTTGCACATATATGTGCACAGTGCTGAAGCATAAGAAAAATGAAGGAAGAGAGCACACCCCACACACCAAAATCATGTCTTCCTTGGGACTTCTCTCTGCTTCACTTTAACATGCTTCACTTTAACATTTTCGTATAAAAATATGCTAGATTTGGTTGGGTGGGGAGAAAGCCCCTTCTTTGTGCTGTTCTGTGGGGTGCACTGGTGTCTGTTCATCAGACAGTCTTACTGTAAAGGTAGAGAGGGTAAGGTGCTGACCCTAGCTTAGGGTGCTGTCAATACTTTTATCTCTCTTTCTGTTTGATCTGCCATAGAATCCATACCAGCGTTTCCAGAATCAACACTATGAACTTCTGTCACATAATTTTTTTGTCATTTCAGATCAGTAACTTGTCTTTAGACAGCCCAAGCATTTGTCTCAATTCAAGCAAAACAATATATTGTTTTGGCACTATCACAATATCAGCATTAATTTAAAATACTGCGTAGTTCTGTAGTATTACACTTCACTCATTTAATCAGTGCAACAGTCTGTGTGTATCTGGTAACCTGCTCTTTCTTTTGCTGCATTTCTGTATCTGCATTACTAGGTACATATTCGCATTGACCACAGCTTATAGGTGGCGCACCGTGCAATCCAAGATGGCTGCGGAAGGTTGAACAACCCGTGAACTTGCATAAGAAAAGATAGGACGCACGGACGTACTCACCGTGCCGCTTTCACCGGATGAACTCTTGATCGTCAAATGGATATACATATATCGAACCAAAGTACTTTCCCAACCAATAGGAAATGCTGAATGTTCGCTACATCATTTCTTGCCGCAGTGCAAAGGCTAGTGGTGTCAGCTGATCGACCGTGTATCAACGATGCCTTGCGTAATACTGTGCGTGGTACAGAAAACTGCGCGAACTAGAATTCACGTATGAACTGAACGGCACTCTGAGATAATTGGTACCGAGCCTGCCTGACGGATTTGCCGCAGTAGTGATCCACTAGCGAGTAGCGTGCCGTCACTGCTGCACAGGACCAAATGTTTAACGTAGCGATGGTTTGCAAACATATTACGCCGTCGTCATTACTTACGCTGTATGTATTATGCAGCTGCTGATTCAACGAACACAAGTATTTAACTTCCCATTAAGTAGCGCTTGTGTCGCAGCCGTGATCAGACTCTAAGAGTGCCCAATTTTCTGCACTCGGATGTTGCAAGTTCCCTCAGCCCGATCAAAACAAAGATATCAACAGGCGTACGCTTTTTGCAACGTCAAAATTGCAAAAATTTGTTGAACAACAACGTCGTTCGGATGGCACCTGTGACGTTCAGAGGAAGTTAGCGGGGACTGTAGTCGTAACTGAATATTTCATTGCTCTAACCATTTCGCTTCGCTGATCGAGCTCGAGCATGTTCGCGGCATGCGGTGCTTTGTAGTATCCATTGTAATGGGGTACATTCAATGCACAAGAGAATGTATGCCTTTATTTTGAGCTGAAGAATATTACACAATAATTACAATCAAAGTAACATACGAGGGTGAAAAAACATTAACACACGATGGGACGTGAAGTGCAACTCTGCTTGTGAGCTAGCAGCCGATCGTTCAGCGTCGCTGTCACTCTCAGCACAATGACAACCATCTATCTCCAGAGAAAAATCGTCGATGTCAAGACGGTTTCTTTGAACATCACTGCTAAAAGTAATTTGAGGAATTCTCTCCGCCGAGCGACTTCGATAGCACCAACAGCACGTCATTCACCACGCACAACACCCACACGGCGTCACACTCCGCATTTATTTGGGGGTGCCGAGATCATTTCTCTCTGATAGAAAGGAATCGCTTGCAGTGTGCTGCCATCTATCAACGAACGTAAAAAAAAAACAGAGTTAATATACAGAGGAAAAGCTTCCCATAGAGCCCATGCATTGAAACCCATAACCGCTCGGGTGCCGCCATGATGGAACGACACTCGGTTTTCGGGTGACGTTCACTCTCAGTCGTCACTGTTACACTGTGGATCTCTGTTACATTGCAGTAAGAGACTGTCGCATGAAGTCGAGTTTTTGGTGCATGGCAACAAAAAACAGGGACGCCGACTCGCCCGGCTTGCAAGCTAGTCGGCGCAATCGGTCGCAGGTCGCACCGCCACGCTATCAACGTTACAAAAAAGGTAGCGCTATCTACTGAAGAAACCTGGAAACGCTCCTCTCCGGGCTCAGTAAATTGGATAAATCGCCATGTATCCACCCTAAAAGTAGTTTATATAAATTTTATGCAATTTTTGTTTATTTATAATTCGTGAGCACGCTTGTTTACAATTTGTATTGCGAAAGTTTGAGTGTTTTAGACGTTTAAATTTAGCGCTTCTTCAAAGTATTCTGATGGCAACGATGGTAACGTTTCAGGATGTCAGTGCTTTTGTGGTTACAGCTTTTCCAGCCCAGCTTTTCCTCTAGAGTGTTTATTAACTCTATGTAAAAAACAAGCGCCTTGAGAGAATGCTCCTGAATTCCGCTAGGTGGCGTGACAGTCTATGAACATTGTGAATACTGGTAATCTTGTAGGTTGTTTTTCTTTCATATATAAGATACTCATTAGATTGGATAATCAGTTATTAAATGCATTATAAATGCCTAAATTCATTCAAATAAATCTTGATTAGTCTTCATTTAATTATTTATCACTTGTTTGTGCAGCCTTCAGATTCCACTATTTAAAAAAAAGAAAATATTTTATAAGCAGTTATCACAAAAATTTGTACGTGTATATATTCCTTCAGCATAGGAATTTCACTTTTCTGACACTCCTACTCTTAATTTACTAGAGTTTTAGTAAGGTATGTAAATACAGTACAGGACTACAGTACTGCTCAAACTTTCTTGCTCGTTGTGCTTGTACCACTCCTAATTCTAGCAGAGGCATCCCAACACCGCAAATGTCTTTTAAAAAATTGCCATGGGATGTCACACCTAATTGTTGCCTGTTAGTCTGCGCATTTATTAATGATGCACCTGTCGATCGGGGAATGCACTGTCAGTCACTGAAACTAGCTCGTCAAGCACAACGAGTGAGAGAGAAGCTGCGCTACAGAAGTCCCGTGCCGTATTGGTGTACTGTATTTTCATAACTTTCCAAAACTGTTTAATGTCTTGAACGAGTACATTCAAGTAAAATGAGGGGTAAATTATGGGAAAGAAATGTACTGAATTAGCAGTTGGTAATTCTTTCATGTAGTTATCAGCTATTCATGGATTTTCTGCATCAGGTTGTCACTTCTGCACGATTCTTTATCTATTGACTGCTTTGTAAATTTTGCTGAACTTGCCGTACACTGGGCTATTCCTTAATCGTTTACTTCTTGCAATAGCTTATGTAGTAACAATGAACACAAACTGAATAATGTTAGCTCCCCTGTCAATGTGCTTGTGTTTGCTAATATGTACATTAGGAGGTTTTTCTGGTTGCATATATGCTAGAAGGTAATCTATTTACTGCAAAAAGTACCAGCGGCCTCAACCAGTGAAACATCTCTGCTATTTCAGTGTCCAATTGTGAAGGTGACTTGTGGAGTCTCCGGCGGCACAGACGACTTGTGGGTGCTTCTATTCCAATGTATGTGGCATTTGATACCCATGGGAACTCCTTGTGCTTAGCTTCAGAAAAGGACTTTAGTTTTGTCTTTGACTCTTGCAAAGCAGAAGTGGGTCATGAAGTGGAAGAAACTAAAGGTGGCAAACGTAAGTAGCTTCATAATATGAAAAGATAGATGTGAGTCGTTTTTGCATGTGGCACATGCTAGCCATCTGAAGGGCTAATATATTATATAAACCAGCTCATGCTATTTTGTGTTACTGCATTCACTCATGCAAACAATGATATGAAACCAACAGACCATTAAGTCAAATGAAGCGCAGGGAACATTATTTGTTTTTAAATGTAGTGTAATGATCATGACCTAAATGGAAAGAAATTAAAGGGGACAAAAAGCACCTTTTTCATCATTGAGATCCAAACCCACAACTTTCTCATAAATTGCATTAAGTCCTTATTGTGATCCACAGTGCCTCATGGGCATTTTTCATTAAGGTACCTTATTGTGAGCAACATAGCACTATGGAGTCTGTCCCCCTCATAGACCACTGCTTGAGCTGCAAAAGGCTCCTCGACTGCTTTCACATTCTACCGTTAGCAAAAACTGAGCACACTTGTCACAAGGGAGCTTAATGTACATCCTGTGTTCCTGGTTATGACTATTACATCCTAAGCATTCTATACTGAGTGTACTAAAGGTTCCTCAAGATGCACCTTGGAGGCAACAATAGTAGGTAAGTTCAATACACCAGCCAGTGCCAGCAGTAGCTGTTACAGATGTATGAGCTTTTCTTGTAAAGGACCCTCTTTCATATAAATATCTTATTTCACACCAATGTGCTAATGAATAATAAACTTGTTCGTAATTCATTCCAGCTGGCTAACCGTTTGTGTTAACAAATCCTATAAGTTATATAGTTATAAAAAATTGTGCACTTTGATGTTGTCATGCAATGCTACTATTGTAATCTTTTGAGCTTTCCTTTTCTGTGTATTTCTGAGACACACTTTTGTATTTGCTTTCTAGCTCAAGAGCCACCACTTTACTCCTTCATTCAGACTGCAGAAGAAATTACAGTTGTTTTCCGGCTGCATGAGGCAGCTACCAAGAAAGACATTGAGGTTAGCCTTCAAGTGAAAGGCATTGAAATTCTTATTGAGGGCAAGACAGTTTTGAAAGGAGATTTTCCTCATGAGGTAGTCAAAGATGGCAGCACATGGATTATATTGGACCAGAAGTAAGTCCTTGCTTATTTTTTCACTGAACGCTACTTTCATAGCATTGTTTAATAACCTTGTGAATCAACAAGTAATGTTCTAGATATTTTTTCTGAAAATCTTTGTCAACTCATGATAGTTGTCTTTTTTGTTTCTTTTTTATTTGGCTAGGACACTCATAGTAAGTTCACCGGTTAGAATGAGTACCTTTATTACAAAATATCAATTAATTGATCACTAGATCACAATATTATCACCATTCAATCATTTGAATGCTCTTCTGTGGATGTTATACACAGATACTATAATATCATCCCATATATTGTAAGTTTTTGCAGCTTACTTTCATTAATGGCAAGAAACAACAGTGACAGATAAGTTTGCAGTACAGTTGAACCCTTTTATAAGAGGCATGCTCCTTGCGGCGGTTCTTGTCTTTTATGTGAGATGTCTCTTATAAGCAGGGCTCCACGTATGCATTTTCTTATCAACCAGTATTTTACTGTACGCTCACTAGTGTCTCTTATACTCATTTGTCTCTTAGATAAGTGTCTCTTATAAAGGGGTTCAACTGTATTTATTACTAATTATTGCCAAAATGGCATGCCATGATGCCCTTTAAATGAGCTGCCAGTACCTATTCTAGAGCAGACTGCATTCGCCACTGAACTGCTTCCAAATGGCCGTGAATTGTCAAGCTTCTCAAGAGAGAGTGCTGTGCCGTCTCTGCAAGCTGACTCGTACCACAGAAGGGTGGGTTGTCGCTATGTCTGGTGGAGTGCCTTAATCGGCATCCTTCTAGATAGGGGGCTTCTTCCCCTTTTGGGGTAAGGTAGCTCACTTGCTCGTACCATACTGGCATTTCATTTCCTTCTATCTCAGTCAAGTTCAACCCTTTAGAAATTCTCGCAGTATAACTTTCCTTTGCTGTTGCTTTACAACTTCTGGTACATCACTAAAATTCTTGACCGAGCCTTGCTTAGAGATACTTAAGTATATGAAAAGAATAAAGTAACTGAATTCTACAAGTGTAACAGCTTGTTTCTGAGCTTCACAAACTTCGATGTTTCAGTTTTTTCGATTATGCTAAAACATAAATCTTGTTAAACTACAATTATCACTACTATGGCATTAGCTGAGAAAAGACAAGCACTTGTTTGCCTTCATTTACATTTTTTAACTTGCCCATCTTTCATAGTTCAGAGAAATAAAAAATACTTGCTGAAGACGTTCTGACATCTTGTTTTTGTTTTGTTTCTAGATTATCAGAGAAGTTTTGTGACATTCATTATTTAAAAGTTGCAACTTCACTTTTTCTAAACTTCATGAACTTCAGTAAGTAGGAGAGTTAAATTAAACTTGGATGTTGTGTTAATGTCATTGTGTTTAGAGCCCCTCCTCTATGGTATTGAAAATGGGCCAGGTACACTGTGGGGCAGCACTGGATGTGATGTTGAATGTGACAATTTTAAGTTCATGCATACTGTTAGCTTAGTTACAGAAAGTGAGTGATTTGTTTTGCACATCTCCTGTAGGCTAGAAGTTCATCTTGTGAAAGCTGAGCATGGTGTCGTTTGGCGTGAAGTGGTTGTAGGGGATGCAAGAGGTGAAGAGGTCTTCGATCCTGCTTTTGTGGAAGAAATTCATGCTCGTTTGGCGCACCTTACTTCAGAGACAGAGGCAAGTGTTTCACTTCTTAATTAATAGGCATATACAAGAGACCAATCTTGTTTGCTGCTGTATCTGTTCAAGAGAGAACCACAGACATCTACTTATATTTATAAACTGTGTGCATATAGTGCGTTCATCAAACCTTGCCATTGACCAGCTTATAGTGACACCTGTTAAGCATATACTGAACAAAAATATGAAAAAATAGTAAATGCGTCAAAGTTGCACTCTGAAGACGTGACTATTCCAATGAACAGAGTTTATTTGACGTTCTTTTTCTACCAGTTGGCTGCATTTTTGGAAGATGGCGAGCAGAGCCTGTGGCAACTGAACGCCAGGGCACTGAGACATGCCCCCACCTGGGAGTATCGTTCACTGCGGGTGCTGTTTATAATGGCCTTAGGAACAGTAGTGGAAGCAGGGCTGGTTGAGAAGTGCAAGGGGGGGGGGGGGGGGGGGTGGCTAGCATAGTTGCAACACCATTTTTCGGCGAGTTAAACACCACCTTCTCTAGTTTATGGCACGCTGATCAGTGATGCTACCGCTGCTCCAATTGCACCAAACTGCGCCAAATTGCCCTGGCTACATTTCTTCAAAATTTTGGGAGTCTGTGCCCAACCTGCGCCAAAGGGCGTGCTCCGACTTTCAGAAACTAAACTACTTGGGGTTCTCCCGTTGAAAATGACATCGCGGCGCACTTGTGTAAGACACAATCTGAGCCAAGCCAAGTCAAACTGGGCCAAATGTCACTGTTGAGACCTTGGTAGGGTAACCATGGATGGTTGGAACACAGTGAATTCCCAATTTTTCAGACTTTCTAGGGACCAGGAAATTGTACGAAAAAAAATTCATGACTTTTTATTCCGCTCAAGTAATCACATCGCCACAGCTCCGTCTGAAATAGCTTCAATGCCTCATAGAGTACACTTATCAGGCATTTTGGTGCACGCTCAGGCTGTCGTAAATACATTCAGGGCCTGTGGACGTCCATTTGTAAATATGCATCGCGGGATGAGCGCCGCTGATATTGGCAAAACGCAGAATGAGTTGTGGATTTATTGTATGGAGCATGTGGAAACAATGACGCAGAACATAAAGGATGTGGCAGAATAGAGGAATACTTGTCCAAACCTTCACGATGCGTGTGTGAACTTGCAAGATAAGCCACTGTATGAAAATCTCCGGCTACATGTAGCACTTGCTGCCACACAAGACCGATGGTTCCTAGTTGTCTGCAGCACATTGTCTATACAGCTCACGCTGTTCTAACCGGGACACTTACGTACGCACGTGTTTGTCATAAAAAAGTGTTCTTTATGCCCAATCTGTTCCTGATCACACAAGGACGTGGCCAAGGAACAGCAATGGTGAGCTGCTTTCATTCGTGAAGGTATTATAGGTACTATAGTGAAGTCTCTGCGGCGCACTTAGCTGATTTGCTCAAGGCAGTATAGACTGCGGCGCCCATAAGTGATTGAAAGCTTGCAGTACGTCGACAACTGCGCTACATGCAGCAACAAGCAGTTAGCTGAAAATGCTTATCATAAAGCGATTAAGTCTTACTGGTGTGTTTGCCGCATTGCCGCCGTCACGCCTTTGAGCATTTCCGGTGATTATCTGTTAGACATCACCTCACCCCATAGTAATACCGGCCCCTATGAATTTTTTTTTGTCTGCTTCACCCTATAGCACTTGTGCATTGAGGCGAAGCGAACTTTCAAACGTCACTGTGATGTCGAACGATTTTTGAAAGCGCTTGTTTAAGCCTACGAGGTCACAGACGTAGCAAAGCTAGGAACCGTAATGCTGTTCATAGTAATGTTGGCTGAAAGCTCGAAAAGTCAGATGCCGAAGAGTTTCAACGTCAAATATTTCCGATGTTTTTATCTATAGACGTTGATAGGGCTTGTGATGCTGTCGTAAAATCGTCTGAATTTTGAAGCATGTCTGAAGAATCTGGTGTCCGACAAATTGGCAGTCAACCGATATTTAGTCACGTTATAATGAAGTGTTATGGTTTTAAATTTTATCATTTGCTTTGTCTACTAAATATGGTCAGGTTATCTGTCAGTGATGTAATTTTCTTTTCTTTATTACTCTATAATGCTTGAATCGCATGAAGCACATTGTAAATTTATAATTCGTGTGTCATAAACACAGTTTTAAAAACACGGCAGGAAGGAGTGGACTTGTCTTTCTCAAGGCTAAAACAGAACACTTTTGTTCTGAGGAACACAAGACTGTTTGTCGGATTGCCGGCTCGACACAACCCCTGCTTATGGATTTCTTCATAACACATAGGTGTCTTAAAATTCACTCTTGCAATATCTGCTCCGAAAGCCAGTTTTTCTGCTCGAAAACGCATTTTTGTCTGCTCCAAAAGCTGCTCCAAAGCAGCCTAAGCCAATAGCATCACTGGCTTGATAGACCCAGCAGTATGAGAAAAATGTATTAAATTCATCATTTTCTGCCAGTTTCTGCCTGAAAACAAGGTTGTGTCAACCAGTTTTAACACCCCAGCATTCATTTGGACTGAAGATGACAAAAGTTCTGTTCAGTATCTCTATAAATTTAATCGTTTCATTTATGAAAAAAGCAAAAGGTGAACTTCTGTGAAACTTTATGCAGTATACCGAGGTAGCAAAGTTACATAACGGTTAATGTGTTATGAGCTCATAGAAAATATCCTAGTGTCTTGCGCTTCCTTCACAGTGGAAACACCTATGACATTATGTGCTTGCTCCGTAGCTATGAAATTTTTCTGCAAAGCATTAAGTTATGTGTTTGATTGCCAGCAATTAATGCTGCTTTGCTATGAGAAAAAAAGTAATCAATGTTTGTGCGCCAACATTTCACTTATTTGAGTTCTTGATACAAATGCCCAAATTGAATGAATCGGTAACCAATGACCTTGGCACCTTTCATAGTTTATAGTACATACATTCGGAATGGCAAATGTCATCAGTTAATCATCCCTCTAAAAAGTTGTCTACTACCATGATAACTCCCTTATTAATGATAGAAGCTTATTTATAAAGCTTGTTCAAGATTATTTTTTTACTTTTTCATCGGTCAGAAATTATGTTCTTAATGAATTTGACACATGTTCAGTTGTGTCACCCTTGTATTCAATGCTACATGCCCCCAAACCAACCCTGAAAAAAAAAGAAAAGAACTGGTCTGGTATTTATCTGGAAACTTAAGGTTGGCTGTCGAAAATTTTAATCGGTGCCTTTGGCAATCCTTAGTGAAATCTTTCCCCTTAGTGGAATTTCCCCTTAGTGGAATCTACTCCAAGATGTAATGGCTGTGGTGTTATTAGTCTGTGTAGATTTTAATTAGGGATGTGCAAATATTCAAACTTTAGAATATTTTTGAACTAGTGTTTTAATTCGATTCAATTCATGCCAAAATTTTACTATCTGAAGTAGCATATCTACTTGTGTAATGAACCCCCCCCCCCCCTTTTTTTTTTCAGAAAAGTTGACGTCAATTTGGGGGAAGGTTCATTACGTAGGAGAGAAAGGTCACGAGATTATAACAGCAAAAATTTTGCATGACATTTTGGCTTGTATTAGCCTTTGAAATGTGCAACGAATGATTTTTGTAGCCCGAACCGTTTTGTGTTTTCTCCCGTAACAAAAGCACACGGATCGACGCCAAAGTGTCGTCCAGCTGCTCGGTTCCCATGCTCCAGCTTATGCTAGACTAGCTTTAAGTTTTAAACCAGCTGTGCAGCTAATGTACCGGCCGAATGCGCCCTGCGCAGCATGCGTTTCCCCCTTCCCCTCAACTAAGTTCACTACAACAAAGTCGACAACAAAAACACAGCTGCGAATGCTGGCGCACAAACCTCGCGGATGCACGACATGCTGTCGGCACGGTTGGGCTTTGCATGACTTCTGGGATGGTGGGCGCACGGCATGTTTCTACGCTGTGCGCCCGCCACCTCTTAGGCCAGAAGAAGCCATGCACTTTGTTTCTTGCTTTGTTTTTGTGCCGCTGTGCTTGCGCTGCACTAGAAGAAAAGAGGTTTCTTCTGCATTTGACAGATGGTGCTTTGCGGCGAAAGGCGCAACGTTTAAATTTTTATTGGTGTCGTCTGCACTCGCGCTCCTTGCAACAGTTTGGTATGGTTGCGAAACTATGTTTTGACTTTTATTGCACCATTTTTTTATGGTATAATGGCTTGATTTAACGTTGTTTCGATTGTCAATGGCACTGCCACGTACAAAGTACTGAAATAAAATGAACAGATATATCGAACAAGTTTTTTCTCCTTTTTCAAGGACCAAGGTGGGGTGTGTGTTCTTTACGGGAGTGGGTTCATTACACGAGTAAATATGGTACTCTAACTTCTGGAAAATAAATGTACCAGTGTCATTTCCTAAAAATCTAATTTCTAAATGATGCATGTAAATGCAGTTCTCTTCTTGAACTAAAGTTGATTGTTGAGATTAACGACCGTCACAATACCCTGATGCTATATTAGACAAGCTTGCGCAGTAAGTGTGCTCAGACTAGAAAGTGTGCAGACAGACTTTAATGTTTTTTATTGTCAAGAAATTCGCTGTCATGCTATGGGGCAGCTCCATACGCTGCCGGAAGCTTCTGCAACGCAGCGCAATTGTGCTACAGAGGGCATCGTTCATGTGCTGAAATTCTTCCATACAAGCTAATGGTTCTGGTGCTTTCTGTGCACCAGCTGCATTATTTTTTGAAATAGTTGAAGTGTGGGTGTGGAATTATGATGCCAAATACATTGTGTATGCGGGTGAACAATTCCATTTATAAGAGAACACCCAAAAGGCGTGTTTGGTTTACCGAGTAACTAGGAGCAGCATGAGATGCGAAAGTGGACCCTACTGCTGTTAGACATTGTTGATTCCAACATTGATAATGCTTCGTACATTATCGCTGCCTCCAATTTAAATTTTTCAGTAGCCCAAATTTTGTTCAGAAGTCGCTTTGCCTTGGTGAAAAAGTTATAGCTGGCAAAGCACCTCAGT